TGAAGACAAAGCTTGTACAGCAAGATTGGCAGGATATGAGAAGATGGAAAGAACTGTGTGGTTGATGATCTGTTGATGAACTGAATAACCCTTACCTCTGGACCTCTTGTAATGCAAAATAATGTTTCCTGATTGCTTAAAACATTTTGAGTTTTATTTATTTGTAGCTAAAAACATTCTGGCATATAGGAGATTCTTATTAAACGTCAGGATTTTCTATATTGAATATTAAGGTGACATTTCCATTTTGCATGTTAATGATCACAAACTCAAAGCAAGAAAACAATTTTTTCACTTAAATGGCAAGAAGTTCTCCACTTAAAAAATATGCCATATGCTATCTCTTAAAGTAGTCAGTGAAAACAAAAGCAAACATGTATTTTAGAATTAAAACTTTTGGGGAAAAGAAATCACAGAAACTTATATTCATTCAATGGCAATGACATTTTTTTAAAAAAGCAACAGTTACATAATGAAACTTCAGAATTGACATCGGAAATTGGCCTGAATTTAGTTCTTTGATCTGTCATTATCTTATTTCCCAGTTGGTAAGGATTCAGTTGCTTTTCACAGAAACTTTTTAGTATCTTGGTAGATCAGTGCCCCCAAAGATAGAGATGCAATTACTTTATCATTTTTAGATATTATACAATATAAAAGTTTAAAAAAGATATCAAAGGAAAAATCACTATTGGGTGATACAGATAGGTGAACATAATTAAAATTAGCTTCTCTATATTTATGTTAACAGATAAGATTTGTTGGATTTTATCTCTATTTTTAGCTCTGATCATAGGATCATCACTTACTATTAGAATATCCATCTCGTGGCTTTCCAGACAACAGTATTCTGTTTATGAAGAATGCCAAATTTCTGCATATAGGTTTCCCCTGTGTTGATTGTTACTGCAAGATGTTTTCTCCCTCATTTTTGCACTACGGTGAAAGCTGCTGTGGGGCGTTTTGATAAAGGGAACCTTACTTCATCATTCACTTATTAGCATGAAAATTAACTTGCACTCCCAAATGGAGTAAGAGAGCAGGGGTAATTTACACAACAAAATTGAATATTGCCAGTATCATGCCTATTAGGACTAGATTCAGACTAGATTCAATGACAGATGAAAGAAAACCCAGATGTGGCCTAAACATGATGGAAGTGCTATCCCTGTGTAAGAGTCAGTGGTAGGCAGTCCAGGGCTGGGATGCCAGCTCCACAGTCACTGTGGGATCGGTCCTGTCTTTATAGCTACCCTACAAACTAAGCACATGCCTTGATTCCAGATTACCCCGTAGAACTTCTGGCATCATGTCCACATTCCAGGAATCAGGCAGGAATGCTGACTGAAGGACCAAAGGGACTCACTTACCAAGATGATTTACCTTCCTTCAGGAGCCTTTGTGCAAGCCTTTCCATTAGCAGGTTTAAACCACCAAGGGATAAGCAATACTCCTGCTTATATCTCACTGACGTATCCTTAGTTATGTGTGGTCCTTAGTCATGAGAGAGACTGGGGATGCCTTTGAGCTCGGTTTATTGCCACCTCAAATAAAATTCACATTCTTCTCCTTAGGAAGGAGAGCACTGATATAGGGTAGGTGATTGTATCATAGTCTCTATCACAGTGTGCTTGAGATTGCATTCCAACCCCAAAGGTATACATAGAAGACTCAAAATCTGATCAGAACTTGTAGCTTTCCAATTTTCTCTTTGTCTCCTACAATTTTTTAGAACACAGAACATAGGAATTTCTTTTAGGATAGGGAGGGATTTCAGTAATCTACACTTAGAGCTCTTACAAATGTGACTAGTAATATAAACATGCCATATTCCATCCTGAAATGTCTTAAGGTCAAGTGTTCATAAATAGCAAAGCAAGTTATATTCTTCTTTATTGGTTTGGTAAATTCAAAATTCTGATGTGATACTTAAAATTCTATCTTTAACACTAAAAATTGTGACTTGGTTACCTATATGCCCCCAAATATTTTGTATTTTCTATAAAAACAGGCTTTAAAATTATTTTTCTAGAAGTTCCTCTACAGCAGTTGGGAAGCTGGGGGCACCAGAAAGGATACAAGAAACATGTTTCCATAATAATTAATTTTACCAGTGACTCCTAAGGTAAGTTTCAGAAACTTACCTCTTTATGAAATGTTTAAAAAAAGAAAATTCATACACTGTAAGTACTAAGGGGTATTGCCTTTGATATTTCTGAGAAGTTTGAAAAGTACTCTGAGCATCACTTTTCTAGAATGAAACATGGTGGACAGTGGTACAGTGTACCTATTGCAGGGCCTTAATTATTTGTTTATTGTAAGATGTTCCATTTTCCTGCTAATTCTGTTATCACATCGACCACACCTTTCCAACAGCCACAGCCATTGAGTGAAAATCAATGCCAGCTATAAACTAACTCTTTCCAATTTTGTATTACATTTTTAGTGTAAATAAGCTTATCTCATTAGGTTTAATCCTAATTTAATCCTAATTTAACTAAAAAAAAAGCATTCTAGATTCTTCTCTCCCTGTATCTGCTTTATGCTCTGCGGGAGATATTGTTTACCCATTCTTTCTAAAGTTATCAGCAGTTCAGATTTTCATTCATTAATTCCATATATTTTTTCACCTCCCATTTGAAAGAACTATAAATTTGATTTGTGATGTGTAAAATAAAATATAGAAACTTTAAAAGGTGTGGAAGTCTTCTCTTAATAAAATCATTATCACATCAGCATGATAGTAGTAACAGGAAATACTATTTGTTGAGCTCACAGTGTTTTTACCATCCTTAATGATATCATCACAACAACTCTGCAAAGTAGGTATTATTATCACATTTTACAGATGAGGAAACTGAGGCTCAGAGAGGTGAGGGATCTTAAGTAAAATCACACTGCTAGGATGTTACACTACCAAGATCTGAAGCCAGGAATGTCTGATTGCAAAGCCCTTGACTATTATGTTATAAAGTAGGCACACTGGGAAAAAGTTATTGTGAATGAAGATACTTCACAGCCTCAGAACTGTCTATAATTAATAGTGATCTGTATACATAAAAAGTGCCAGAAGTCATTCCACTGTCTTTCTTTGAAATGTTTGAAATTGCCCACTTTAGGCATCATAGAAAAGAACATGACATAGTACTGGGGAACGAGGGACAGAAGTACTCTTGATTGGATAGGGGCAATGTTCGGAAGAAAAAGGCTTCTTTCTTCCTTCCCAGGCTCTTCATGCAATGAAAAAAGAGATTCTCTTTACTCACCAGAAAACCACTGATTCAAGGAGGAATGCAAAGGCCAAACCGAAGGTGTATTAGAGCAGCATGAACTGCCTTTCTGAAATAACTACTCAAGACTCCCCCATTCAGGCATCAGACTTAATGATATGATGACATTACTAGTATATTTCCATTGGACACTGTCCCTGACAGTTCTGCCAAAAAGAGCTGTTTTAGAACTGATAGTTATGGATGAAGTTACTATTTGTACACTATCGCAGCCTCTCACATTCTCAAGTGTGAGAAGAGTTGAGGTTGAACAGTAAAGTCATTTACAGGTATAGTCTCTTGCCCTCAGTGTGGGTGTCAGCTCTTAAAAACAACTTTTGAGGAATGTTTTCTGTTTAATGTGGATGGTGATTGAATTATTTATGCATTGTGGAGCCAATGGGATTCCCTGATGAGAAGAAAATTCTCTGCTAATGATCTAGCATTTGGGTTTCAGTCAAAGTGAATGACAGTATAGCTTTCAAACCTGAGTAGTCATATTCAGAGCTTATGTCCATATTTGTAGGGAGGTGGGTAACTGGCATTTCTATATATTTTTTAATAGTGGACAGTCTGTGAGTGAGATCTGTTCTATTACTTCTAATCCCATGGGGCTCGGGGTTGGCATCTATCTCCCAGTCAAGAGACACCTTATTTCCCCTCAACTTTACCAAAACTGCAAAGGTGGAGAAGAAAATGCCTATTCATTAATGTCAGACACCAATTCAAATGGCTTATTGGCCCCAGTGCAGCACTAAATAGGCCTCCATTTAAAGCATGAATCAGAATTGGTTCTGCCGAACTTGTTTTTAGGTATGTGGTTGTTTTAGACATCAAGGCAGTTTGTAAAATAAAATCCTTTACAGGTTTTATATATTTGGAATGGAAATGAATGAACTTCCAGTTTTACACAAGCAATTTTGAATTATATATATATATATATATATCCATTTGGAAGGTAAAACATTTAAATTCCTTCAAGTGCATAAAATAAAAAAATGTTTATACTTTTAGTCTTCTTTGGATACAGGTAATTTTCTGCCTGACTTACTAACTTGGGTATCTCACAGATTCAGATATATAGCTATTGCAATGACCTGCTGTCCGGATGATATCCCGTACAAGTGTGGAGACCTGTAGAGTCTCCCTGGCAGCATTCACTAGAAAGCCATGCTCATAAGAAATAAAGTAGTATTTGGTGACTGATAACCATACCACTAGATGCTGGTATGTCGCTATGCCATAACTGGATTATTAAGACTACTTGGGAAAAGGAGCAATTTAAATTTATGTGATGCAAATTCTATACTCCATAATTAGCAGCTTAATCACTGTAAGCTTATCAATACATGATGTTTTTAAAATTTATAACCTCCATTTATTTAATAACTACTTCACCAGCCCATGTTTCATACCTCCGCTTTCTTAGCTCTGCAGTGAGGCTACAGCTGGAGAAGGCTAAACCACTCTCATCCTCACATAATATTCAGTCTGGCATGGTGGCACTGTTTTCTGTACAGTAATAGCATCTTACCCTCAGTGTTGCTGTTCCATGTTGAATTTACAAGTCTGTCTGATCATAGCCTGTACATTGTTATTTAAGGAATAAACTGAAAAGCAGCATTTCAGTGATTGTGGATTATGATAGACCCCTGAGAAGATTCCTGTAAGAAAACATTAGAAGGCCCACTGTGGAAACTGAAATGCTTGAGTTCCTTTGTTTCTTAACAGAGTCAGCTCTGGAAAGCCTTGATGCTCTAGGTACCATTTACAGCAGCATTGATCAGCAGCTGAATGAAACAATGAGGCGCCGCAGACACGCAGGAGAAAATGATTACAACATTGAGGTGCTGCTGGGAGTGGATGACTCTGTGGTCCGTTTCCATGGCAAAGAGCACGTTCAAAACTACCTCCTCACCCTGATGAACATTGTGAGTAGTGACTCCTTTTAAAGGCTTTTTGATCTTTTAATTCACTTCCGTTTTGTCAGTGTCTTTTGGAAACCTGTGAGAGGCTCTATGACTGTGTTCCACATCCAAAATGTGTCCATAACTGCATGAAATTGAAATATTGATGTACGTACTTAACATGCAAGGATGCAAAAACCAAGAAAGCATGAAGCAAAATTTTCTTTGAGGTGGTCAACCAGTTTTCCATTCTCATCAAGAGGAAATGATAAATTTAAAAAGTCGTAATGGGATGGAACTATAACATCAGTTATGATTTTCATTTGTCCCGGGGATAATCCGAGCTCTCACGACTTGGTCCACCTGCCTTGATCTGGACCATGAAGGATGAAATCGTTTTTTTCCAGTATCGTTTTGTATCCCAGGATGACAAAGAATGATTTCAGCCTGATAATTCTGTATGGATGCTTATGGTTAGAGCTTTTGAATAAGAGTGATTTTTTTCAACGTTTTTAAAGCTAAGCAATAAAACCATGCTATTATTAAGAATTAAACTACAGATGCTATAATATAAATATAAAGACTTTAGAGAATGTAGCTATGACAATAGTCATCCAGCTCATGAAGTGTTGAGATAATTAAACAGGAACTTAGGAGGTAAGGGCTTTATTTCTAGCTCTGTTGCTGGTTGGCTCTGTTATCTTAGATGATTCATGTCCCTTCCTGGGATTAGTTTCTGTGTTTATAAAATTGAAAGGCACAAGAAAGAGTTCATTAATTCTGTAATTTTTCAGGAAGTTGGGATTTAAACCAGATTTAAGGATTAGTTTTTCTTTTGTTGTGTCTTTATTCTGCTTTGTTTATTTGCTTTTGTTTTCTGAAGGGCACATGAAAATTTCTAGGTAGAATCTATCAACAGGAAAGTAGAAATGGATATAGTGTATTCACCAGACAGTAAGTGTAATTTGAAGAGTATTGAAAAATGAAGTGCAACACTTTGGGTTTAATAACAGTCAAAAGGACTGTTTTGTTTTTAGGTCCATTAAAAAGGCTAGATAATAAACTGAGTATGTCTCACATACCAGGAATTATTATAAAGTTCATAGAGCATTATAGAATAGAACTATAGAAGAGAAAATTTTTAAAACTTACTAAGTTCATTGCATTTGAAGTAATGAATGTAGGTAGGGGTTTTGGAGAGACGAAAATAACACTCTTCCCTTCCCTTCCCAAGTTCATAACCAACTGAAAGGTAGACACAGTGATCAGACTTATTGAAAATAAAGCTTTGCTATTCATGAGAGCTGTCTCTCACATGGCTTAAGTGTACAGCCACATAGATTTTCCTTATTCTAAATCAGTGATTCTGTTTGTCCCAGTTTGTCCCAGCCCCTGCTCGTTTGGCAGTGTTTAGAGACATTTTGGCTGTCACACTGGGAGATCACTAATACCACTAGTGGGAGAGGACAGGGACACTGTAGATACCCTACAGCACAAAGGCAGCCTGTAAGAATTCTGAATTATCCAGTCAATGTGAGTAGTGCTAAGATTTAGGAACTTTTTTCTAAATTCAACAGTCTTACTTACTATCCCCATCTTTCTCCAAATGGATAATTTCTGGTTTCACCCGTGAGAATAGGCAGACAGCTTTCAGCGTGACAGATCGATGACTGAGCCCCTTCCTCTCCTCCCATCCTCACCCTGCTCCACTGTAGACGTAGATCCCAAACACTGAAATAAACATGCTTGTTATCCTGAATCAAACTCATCAGTTTGATGAGAGTTGGAGGCAGGAAGAAAACCAATAATAATAGTCGAATGAAACTCCCTCCTGGAAATTTGAAGCCAGGAAAATTGTGGGTCTTTTCCTAATAATGTTTCAATAATTATTATCTCCTCTGCTAGCTGAGCTTTATGACTTTCCATGGTCCTTTAAAATCATGGCTTCCCCAAACTTGAGTCCTACACAAACAGAGACGCTACATGTCACAGAGGCTCAGACAGAAGCTGTAGGAGAAAATTGAGAACAAGAATGTCTATCTTGTTGCTCAGATTTGGGAAGAAACATGTCCCTGTGGTAGAGAAAAGAGCGTGGTTTCCTGTGATCCCATTTGGCACCCTTGCCTTAGCTGAGCCGTCAGCAAATACATCCTTCCTTTGGTTTCCTGTAGGCTGGGTTCCTTTAGAGCAGAGGTCAACTGCCGTCTGCTCCGCAGTTTACGTAGTTTATGTAGTTAGCTTATGTAGACTAATTAACTAACTTAAGTGCTTAGTCATTTAGTTTCCATTACCAAACTCAGATGACATTTACTACATAGTTTCTGAACTATTGGAGGACTTTTATGTCTCAAAGATGTTTCTTCATGGTTGGCCCTTTAATTTAAACCAGATTCCTTTTTAAAGGAAGCTTGTATTTTTTATTTCATACTATTTTATCTTGAAAAGGATTCTCAAATTATGAAATGTTCAACATCTGTTTAATGAAGGAATGGATAAATGAACAAAGGAGTATAAATAATATTGTAGAGGTAGGTTCTGAACAGTCTTGGGAGGCAGAAATTTGGACTTGAAACAAGAGGATATAGATAACAAATGAAGGCTTTTAATCAGCTTAATGTTATAATGAAAGCAATGCTTAAAAAGTTAATTAACATTTATTGGGTGTCATATTTTTTTTTAGTATATTTTAAGATGGGAATTATAATTTTTCTAGAGGAAACAGGCATTATTACAATGTTGAGAAAATTGAGATGAATTTTAAATTATTTGAAGTATGTAAAACAGTCCCAAATAATGATAATGCGGTGATGATAATCATGAAAAGAAGGGTTCACTGGGGTGCTGAATGCAGGGTGTTGGAAAGGTGCTGGGCCTGGAAGGAGCAGGGGAGCTCAGCACCCCTCCCCCCATACAGTGGCCTATGTATCTCTTCCAACTGGCTGCTTCTGAGTTGTATCCTTTATTTAAAAACCAGAAATATATAGGACACAGTAGTCTATAGTGGAAAGCAAGTCTTGGGTTCAAAATCTGTGCCCGGCACCTGCAAGGTGAGAGGCCTTGTATAAGTGGCAGCTTCTCAATGCCTTAGTTTCCTCACCAGTAAGATGAGCACAGCAGTTTATCGCTCACAGAAGGGTTTTAAAGAAGGGAGGAGATCGTGAATACAGCATGGGAACTGAGAAGGTGCTCAGCAGATGGACCGTTTACTTCTGCTCTGAAGTAGCTTAAAGCTCTTGCTACAATTTGCTCTTTCCCCCAAGTCACCTAGAAAGGTAAGCAGAAGGCTCATCATGTCATGTGAAGGAAGGCACATTTGCAAATCTACCTTGAATCAGACCTAGGCAGAAGGATTTCCAAAAACAAAATAGCAGATCTGTGGGAGATCTAAACTAGTAGGGCAGCCTCCAGTCCCTAGTTTAAGTACCCTGATTTTCCCAGAATCTCAGAGCAGAAAACACCAACGGAACAGCTCAGTATGATGTTTGGAGCCTGGGATGGAACCTGATCCCAATTCCCAGTCTCATGAACCCTGCTCCCTTCTGCCACTGATGAGCTTGGAGTGAAATCAGGAAAGAAAGTGGTGCAGACGTCTGTGAGCTGATTTACTGGCAAGAATACCCGGGAGTGGGGGCAGGCACAAAGCTCTGCTCTCTTCTTCAGGCCATTTTCTACAGAACAAAAGCCTTATACTGCCAGGGATGTTACAGCAAAGCCTGTGGCCTCCAGGGTTTCACTCTGGGGAAGAGTAAAAGAAAAAACTTTATTCCAACATTTAGGACAGAAAAAGGTCTTGGGGGAAACAGCTGCCAGCCCTTAAGCAACTGTGGAGTGGCTTGTGAAGAAAAACTGACACCCGTTTCTGCACATAGCACCCCCACCCATGCCCCACAGCCCCGGCCAGCCTGCAGCCAGCATCAGCCTGGCAGCTAAGTAAGGACGCCACCTTGGAAAAGGAATTCTCGTGTCTGTCTGTCCCAGCCAAGCCTTCAGCTGATTAGCCCCAGCTGATATCTGACTTTGACTTCATGAGAAATGCCAAGCCAGAATATCCCAGCCAAGCTGCTCCCAAATTCCTGACCCACGGAAACCGTGAGACAGAATAAATTATGACTGTTGCTTTAACAAAGGAGGAAGGGGCGGAGGAGGAGACAGGGTTATTGGGAGGAGAAAGTTGTTTAGAAAATTCAGGTTATATTTAATATTTAATTTTAATACAGGTTAATCATAGTCTGAGTATAATAAAAAAAAATTACTTGAAGCACAATTTATTATAGGTAAGAGTAATGTTAAATATTCTTTATTTGTTTGCTATTCTAATTTAGCCATGCTAATTGGCCACCGTTTGACATTAATATATTTAATCTCTTTCAGGGCCATTTTGCCTAATGAGTGATAATTGTGCATATGACTGTAGTACAGTTCTGTAAGTGATTTTTCATATGAATCTTAAAGTTTGGACACAGGAAAGGTAGCTCACTAAGCTAGTACTATTCACTTGGGGCTCAAGGGTCAAGTGAACAAGTCTGATATAGGCCCCCAGATGATTTTGATATGACTCCCCAAGAGGCGAGGAATACCCGCTGCCCATCCCTCTGGGTCCTCTGAGATTCAGTGAAGGAGAGAAGAGTCAGCTGCCTTCCCTCTCCTTTTATGTGTAACTTACTTTTTTCTAGTTCTTCAGATTTCTCCAAGCCTCATCTATAAAAATGATCAGATATGAATATTCTAAAACAGAATAATTATTCTTAAATTCTTAACAAGATTTTCATGTTTCAAATAAGTGATGTGTGATACATGGTAAGCCTTTGTTAGGATCTCTTATCTTGTTAATATTAAGAAATTATAGTTCACTACTTTGTCACATGGCCAACTTGCTAGGAAAGCAGTTCTCTGCTATGGGACTTGTCTCATTCTATGAATATTGATCCATTGCTTACTATGTGCAAGACCTATTTTAGGCAAAGGGAATATCCCAATGAACACAATAGAAAATATTTTATCCTCTTAGAACTTGAAAGCAGAGA